GATTTCACAGAGAACAGGTTGAAATCTGGCTGCGAATCAGTTTGAGCATTTTCACAGGTAGAGTGGTTCATTGGTTGGGTTAGGTTGTCTTGGTGAGAGTCAAACATAGTGCTGCCTTTGGTTGCGGTACTGTCTTGACTGGCTAGATTTAGCAACAGACAAAAGACAAGAGAAATAAGAAGAGCCATTGTTGTCGGCTTATTTAACAGGGGGGGGGATAGAGCTTTTACCAACTTCTTGGAAGTCTTAGTCTAAATCAATCCACGACAATGTCTTTGAGACAATAAACCTTAACTTTGCATGAGATAACAATATCGTTGTCCTTCATTCAGTCAAACTCAACATTATGGCTTCACTGAACTTTGTCATTGAGGAGCATGTGTAGTTTGAAATGTGTGTCGATTAAAATTGTACAGTTGATACCCAATATATCCAGCCTTTTTCTTCTTCGTTCAGCTGCTTTTCTTTCTGGATTTCTTTTCTTATCCTTTTTAAATCCAAGAACAAGCGTTGTATCCCCAAGATGGGTTGCTATTCCCAACTATAGAGCCTCATCTACACCGGAGATTGAACTCAGGACTTTTCGGTTTAGCAACCACGAACTTTACAAGCTCTTGATTTTGGTATAGGCGTGTCAGTTTTCTTCTTTATTTAGTCGACATCTAAAGTTAAAACAAAACAGTTGCCTACCTCTGCAAAAGTCAATGTAGCCCAATTACGGCCAGTGTAGCAATTAGCAACATCAAAGTTGATTTGAATTCCTTGCAACATTCATTCCATACTTCTCTAGTGTGGAGGTGTTTATTATTAATATTATCCTGTTTGTTTGATACGTTTCTTTAACAACAATATTATTAACCATAGGCACTTTTTGCCTGGGGTACAAACTGGGTCCCAGTATTCTCTGGTAAACAATTAAGTTCTTTTCCAAATATGTGCTCACTAAGAGAAACATCATTCCTAGATTGTTTTATTTTTAGTATTTTGTTGTTTTTTACAGAGTTTCAGCTGTTTTAATGTCAAATGGTGCTAGGAATACTATAACTACATAGAACACTTTTCAACTTTCAATCACTAACACTAACATCTTTTGTACACAGTAAGAAAACCAAATTCATCAAATTTAGAGAAATAATTTATTTATCAAACCTAACAATTGCATATAAAGCCAAAAATGTATAGGCCTATATCAAGACTATTGCAATTATGGGCGTTTGCAGATTCTTGTTTTAACTATGGTAGATGGACGTATTAGTTGCCTTTTACATCACTTTTCACTTCCTGAAACAAAACAAAATGATTTTCTTAAAAATTCATCTGAAATAATGACATTAGCAAAAAAAACAAAACATCTTTAGTTTAATAAATCAAAACAAAACAAGAAAAAAGTGATTGAATGAAATGAATCATGGCATAGGTATCTATAAAATTTAAAGGTAAAAAATTTAAGTTCTTGTAAGGATACATGAGCTAGAGAAATAAACTAATAGGCCTAATTTAAATAATGTAATTCATTTCTCCCAAAAGACTACATGTATCCTTAAGAAAGCCTTAAAATGTATCAATATTTACCTTGTATAAATTCTTCTGTGCAGCTACTGTATCAGCTTGACGCTCATTAAGTATGCCTAGTTCCTTTACAGAGTTTCAGCTGTTTTAATGTCAAATGGTGCTAGGAATACTATAACTACATAGAACACTTTTCAACTTTCAATCACTAACACTAACATCTTTTGTACACAGTAAGAAAACCAAATTCATCAAATTTAGAGAAATAATTTATTTATCAAACCTAACAATTGCATATAAAGCCAAAAATGTATAGGCCTATATCAAGACTATTGCAATTATGGGCGTTTGCAGATTCTTGTTTTAACTATGGTAGATGGACGTATTAGTTGCCTTTTACATCACTTTTCACTTCCTGAAACAAAACAAAATGATTTTCTTAAAAATTCATCTGAAATAATGACATTAGCAAAAAAAAAAAAACATCTTTAGTTTAATAAATCAAAACAAAACAAGAAAAAAGTGATTGAATGAAATGAATCATGGCATAGGTATCTATAAAATTTAAAGGTAAAAAATTTAAGTTCTTGTAAGGATACATGAGCTAGAGAAATAAACTAATAGGCCTAATTTAAATAATGTAATTCATTTCTCCCAAAAGACTACATGTATCCTTAAGAAAGCCTTAAAGTGTATCAATATTTACCTTGTATAAATTCTTCTGTGCAGCTACTGTATCAGCTTGACGCTCATTAAGTATGCCTAGTTCCTTTACAGAGTTTCAGCTGTTTTAATGTCAAATGGTGCTAGGAATACTATAACTACATAGAACACTTTTCAACTTTCAATCACTAACACTAACATCTTTTGTACACAGTAAGAAAACCAAATTCATCAAATTTAGAGAAATAATTTATTTATCAAACCTAACAATTGCATATAAAGCCAAAAATGTATAGGCCTATATCAAGACTATTGCAATTATGGGCGTTTGCAGATTCTTGTTTTAACTATGGTAGATGGACGTATTAGTTGCCTTTTACATCACTTTTCACTTCCTGAAACAAAACAAAATGATTTTCTTAAAAATTCATCTGAAATAATGACATTAGCAAAAAAAAAAAAACATCTTTAGTTTAATAAATCAAAACAAAACAAGAAAAAAGTGATTGAATGAAATGAATCATGGCATAGGTATCTATAAAATTTAAAGGTAAAAAATTTAAGTTCTTGTAAGGATACATGAGCTAGAGAAATAAACTAATAGGTCTAATTTAAATAATGTAATTCATTTCTCCCAAAAGACTACATGTATCCTTAAGAAAGCCTTAAAATGTATCAATATTTACCTTGTATAAATTCTTCTGTGCAGCTACTGTATCAGCTTGACGCTCATTAAGTATGCCTAGTTCCTTTACAGAGTTTCAGCTGTTTTAATGTCAAATGGTGCTAGGAATACTATAACTACATAGAACACTTTTCAACTTTCAATCACTAACACTAACATCTTTTGTACACAGTAAGAAAACCAAATTCATCAAATTTAGAGAAATAATTTATTTATCAAACCTAACAATTGCATATAAAGCCAAAAATGTATAGGCCTATATCAAGACTATTGCAATTATGGGCGTTTGCAGATTCTTGTTTTAACTATGGTAGATGGACGTATTAGTTGCCTTTTACATCACTTTTCACTTCCTGAAACAAAACAAAATGATTTTCTTAAAAATTCATCTGAAATAATGACATTAGCAAAAAAAAAAAAACATCTTTAGTTTAATAAATCAAAACAAAACAAGAAAAAAGTGATTGAATGAAATGAATCATGGCATAGGTATCTATAAAATTTAAAGGTAAAAAATTTAAGTTCTTGTAAGGATACATGAGCTAGAGAAATAAACTAATAGGCCTAATTTAAATAATGTAATTCATTTCTCCCAAAAGACTACATGTATCCTTAAGAAAGCCTTAAAATGTATCAATATTTACCTTGTATAAATTCTTCTGTGCAGCTACTGTATCAGCTTGACGCTCATTAAGTATGCCTAGTTCCTTTACAGAGTTTCAGCTGTTTTAATGTCAAATGGTGCTAGGAATACTATAACTACATAGAACACTTTTCAACTTTCAATCACTAACACTTACATCTTTTGTACACAGTAAGAAAACCAAATTCATCAAATTTAGAGAAATAATTTATTTATCAAACCTAACAATTGCATATAAAGCCAAAAATGTATAGGCCTATATCAAGACTATTGCAATTATGGGCGTTTGCAGATTCTTGTTTTAACTATGGTAGATGGACGTATTAGTTGCCTTTTACATCACTTTTCACTTCCTGAAACAAAACAAAATGATTTTCTTAAAAATTCATCTGAAATAATGACATTAGCAAAAAAAAAAAAACATCTTTAGTTTAATAAATCAAAACAAAACAAGAAAAAAGTGATTGAATGAAATGAATCATGGCATAGGTATCTATAAAATTTAAAGGTAAAAAATTTAAGTTCTTGTAAGGATACATGAGCTAGAGAAATAAACTAATAGGTCTAATTTAAATAATGTAATTCATTTCTCCCAAAAGACTACATGTATCCTTAAGAAAGCCTTAAAGTGTATCAATATTTACCTTGTATAAATTCTTCTGTGCAGCTACTGTATCAGCTTGACGCTCATTAAGTATGCCTAGTTCCTTTACAGAGTTTCAGCTGTTTTAATGTCAAATGGTGCTAGGAATACTATAACTACATAGAACACTTTTCAACTTTCAATCACTAACACTAACATCTTTTGTACACAGTAAGAAAACCAAATTCATCAAATTTAGAGAAATAATTTATTTATCAAACCTAACAATTGCATATAAAGCCAAAAATGTATAGGCCTATATCAAGACTATTGCAATTATGGGCGTTTGCAGATTCTTGTTTTAACTATGGTAGATGGACGTATTAGTTGCCTTTTACATCACTTTTCACTTCCTGAAACAAAACAAAATGATTTTCTTAAAAATTCATCTGAAATAATGACATTAGCAAAAAAAAAAAAACATCTTTAGTTTAATAAATCAAAACAAAACAAGAAAAAAGTGATTGAATGAAATGAATCATGGCATAGGTATCTATAAAATTTAAAGGTAAAAAATTTAAGTTCTTGTAAGGATACATGAGCTAGAGAAATAAACTAATAGGTCTAATTTAAATAATGTAATTCATTTCTCCCAAAAGACTACATGTATCCTTAAGAAAGCCTTAAAATGTATCAATATTTACCTTGTATAAATTCTTCTGTGCAGCTACTGTATCAGCTTGACGCTCATTAAGTATGCCTAGTTCCTTTACAGAGTTTCAGCTGTTTTAATGTCAAATGGTGCTAGGAATACTATAACTACATAGAACACTTTTCAACTTTCAATCACTAACACTAACATCTTTTGTACACAGTAAGAAAACCAAATTCATCAAATTTAGAGAAATAATTTATTTATCAAACCTAACAATTGCATATAAAGCCAAAAATGTATAGGCCTATATCAAGACTATTGCAATTATGGGCGTTTGCAGATTCTTGTTTTAACTATGGTAGATGGACGTATTAGTTGCCTTTTACATCACTTTTCACTTCCTGAAACAAAACAAAATGATTTTCTTAAAAATTCATCTGAAATAATGACATTAGCAAAAAAAAAAAAACATCTTTAGTTTAATAAATCAAAACAAAACAAGAAAAAAGTGATTGAATGAAATGAATCATGGCATAGGTATCTATAAAATTTAAAGGTAAAAAATTTAAGTTCTTGTAAGGATACATGAGCTAGAGAAATAAACTAATAGGCCTAATTTAAATAATGTAATTCATTTCTCCCAAAAGACTACATGTATCCTTAAGAAAGCCTTAAAATGTATCAATATTTACCTTGTATAAATTCTTCTGTGCAGCTACTGTATCAGCTTGACGCTCATTAAGTATGCCTAGTTCCTTTTGAGCAGTTAAGACAAATTAAGTAAATAATTCTAATTTGTATGACAAACCACAAAATGATAATGTGATATATATATATGTATATATATATATATATATATATATATATATATATATATATATATATATATATATATATATATATATATATATATATATATATATATATATATATATATATATATATATATATATATATGTGTATGTATGTATATATGTGTGTATGTATGTATGTACATTAGTACAAATCAAACAAACATACATATTGTATCAATCATCACAAATGACTTGGTCTTACTAGGTAAAATATTTTTTTTTAATACAATATTTATACAAATAAAAATCTATCTCAATCAACATGTTCAAAATAAACCAAAGTAAACTTGTGGTAACTTACCTGATTCAAGTTTGAGAGGATTCACCCAGTTCTGGCCACTGAAGCAGATTAGATGCTTTTATTATAATACTTGTGATATACTGATTGCAATTTAGTTTTAGTCCTGGAGATCTATCATAATCTATGTTGTAGGCACAGACTGTTAAACCTGGATAGTAATATTATAGAAGTAAATTATATCTAGTATAATATAAATATTTAAAAATATAAATGACACTAAATTATATTTATTATAATTGGAAATAAAAGTGGTACAATTAAGTTATAAAAAAAACAAATTATAAAATTTAAAGCAGCTTATTAATAATTGTCATACCTTTTCATGCTTTGATGTCTAATGTAAGTGATAACAGAGAAAGAACATCTTGTGTCATTTAGTATACTGTAGTCTTATTACTGGTAGAAATCAGATCTTCCTTTTTTTTTTTGGGTGAACCTGTATAAGAGAAATTACAACATGGATAAACACAATGAATTTCATATCTAATCCTCAACTAGTTATGAACCCAATCCTAACCTCACTTTTTTAAACCAATTTCTAAATATGTTTTTGGAACAAATTTATGTTAAGTCTACCTATTTTAGTGTTCAGATTATTAATAGTTATCAAAACCACCTCCAGTTGAAATTCAAGATACCTTTATAAAAATTATTATGACTAACTTTGTGTAGTTGTTATTTACAATATTTAGGCTATTTGTTTATATTATTTAAATTAATATTTCATGCATTGTTTTAAAAAGGCCTACTCTAATTTTGATTTTATGGTACAATCTGATAAAAAATAAGCTGCTACATCTGAAAATCATTACAACCTATTACAAAGGTCAATGCACAGACTTCCAAATTAATGATAAGGCCTGTATAAATACTGTATGTAATTACTAGCTCAATAATATTACTCTACGACCTATGTTTAGGACTTTAGGTATCAGACCTAACTCCTATAATTAGGTCTAATTAGGCTATTAAATAATTAATAGTATTGGATAAACAAGTATGGACCTTAGCTGAGAGCTGAATACTTAACTAAACATCATTTTAAAAATTATGGTAAGCTAAGTGAGTTGAACTATTTTATTTAGGTAGGTCTAGGCTATAATATACTCTATAGTTAGTCATAGCCGCAGAGTAGCGTATAGCATAAACATTTAAAATTAAATCTATAAGCAACATTAAGCCTCTGCCTTGTTGCCTAATTAAAAACTAAAGCCTAATAAGCCTTTCCTAATAATTTAAAATTAGGCCTTTGGCCTAATTTAAATAATTTAGCATATATATATATTATATATATATATATATATATATATATATATATATATATATATATATATATATATATATATATATATATATATATATATATATATATATAGGCTAAACTACTTGTAAGACCTAATAGATTAATGACTATAAGAGAGAGCGGCCTCTATACGATTTTATATAATATATGCTCGATCGATATCATAATAACTTACACTGATTACATTAATTTACATAAGGCCATAACATCGTAACTCTAATGGCTCATACTATTTCTATTAATAAAATAGGCTTGATCTAGTTTTAACTTAGGCCAGATTAGTAATTATAATTAAGTAGGCCATTTTATGACTTTATAATATTTTTAGTAGATGGCTGAGCCTTAAATTTAAATACTAAATAGATTTAGCCTACTAGAATCTAGGTCTATTGTAGGTCTAATAAATAATTTATTTTTCATTTAGAATTTCAGATCTCCTATTTATTATAATTGAGTCCCAATACATATGTGTACATGACCCGCTATTACATAGGCCTAAATAAATTATTTTTATTTGGATGCATCTATATTCTATTCGGACCCGGGTCCCAATCAGTAGCGTAGCGAGGGGGGGGGGGGGCGGGGGGACATATGTCCCCGGGCGCCGACCTTAGGGGGCGCCAAAATGGGTTGGAAAAATAAATTGAAAGGTTGAGGAGGGTGCAAATTGAAAGTTTGAGGGGGGGGGGGGTGTGCAAATCGAAAAGTTTGTCCCCGGGCGCCGGGAAGGGTCGCTACGCCTCTGGTCCCAATAGCCACGGCCGCTATTGGGACCCGTGTTCTAATAGCCTCGGCCGCTATTGGGACCAGCCAATAGAATTGTTAAGATTTAGTTATACAAAAATTCTTTTAAGATGCGGAATAGGCCTATATCTTTTCTATTGTGATTTTTTTCCTTGTAATTCTAAATTATTTATTGGGATCTTGCTTTAAGTACCCGATATCTTTCCTGACAAATGTAATGGCGAGCGGGTGTCATTAGGTCTATAATATAATTATGGCCTATGGTATGAACTTCTATGGCCGAGCGAATGTTGAGCGCGCATGTTAAAATGTGTTTTATTTATTTTTTCTTCTGTTAAACGTAATTTGATTTCATAGGTGTATCCGTCAATATATATATATATATATATATATATATATATATATATATATATATATATATATATATATAAAATTGTATAAAATAGCTCATGGGGTCATCCTTAAATGACATCACGCTTTTTTTGACGATTTTTACCTCCTCCCCTCCGTCATACATCGTCACAAAAAGCCAGACCCCCCCCCTTAAAATGGCGTCACATCTCAGCCTACAACCCCCTCCCTCTTATCACACACCCGTCACAAAATTACGGACCCCCCTCCCCCCTAAGAGTGTGACGTCATTTATGGACGACCATGGACTACAGCTCCCGGGCCCGTTTTCTTGAACACGAATATCTCGCATGCGTTGTAGTACGCTTTAATAGAAGCAATATGTAACATTTGAACTCACAATGCCCTTAAATCCGTTTTTCCCTCTTGCTGGGTTGGGAGGGGGGGGGGGAGGGGGAACTATGACGACGACAAATCTCGACAAGCTCATAGCTATGACGTATGCTGCTATACACTGTTCACATCTAAACCAAAGTGAACTCACAGTGACCCTGGCTACACCGTGTCGGTATTTTTCTTGCGCTGACCAGAAAACGCGAGCGGGCGATCAATGGAGCAACGATGTTTTTTTTTATATAATTGGCGTGTTTAAAAACCTAAGTCTAGAAAAAAAAATCTATTTAAAAAAATAAATTTAAAAAAGACACTTATGCAAACAACTCAATGGAATGTTAAACTTAGATAAATACACTTTACTTCACGCAAAAACGAGAGCTTTGATAGGTTCCGATCCCGTAACTGATCGAGATTCGGGAGGTAATGCGTCCTCCACTCGACCACGACGTCTTACGATATTACAAAATATTTAATGATTTTGTATACACTACTATATATAGCTAAATATAGGGTATTTAGAAATAGCAAAACAAGAACTAACGCTAGCTATTCCGCATAACTAATTACAATAAAAGACAACAAAATATGAGCAAATCCACAAGAAAAATCAAATAAACATAAAAGGTATAATTTTAATACAGTGCTTAACTAACTTAATGCCGGGTTCCAATAGCGGACGTGGCCAGGGGCGGATTAAGCTTGGGCGGGGCCCCGGGCTGAAACTTTTTGGGGGCCCCTTATTTTATATATATATATATATCCTAATCAGCATACCATTCAAGATATTAATGGATTATTTATAACTTATAGGAACATTCGACACCGATATTTACAAAACTGCTAATTTAAAAAGCTGTCAATTGTGTTCAATGAGCGGTAAATTGGCTACAAACATCTAACCTTCTACTTCTCTTCTTCTTTGATCTTAATATTAGTGTTGGAAGGGATCCCCTCCAATACAATTAAGTATACGTGTCAACTGGTTAGGCGCCATTGAGACCATTGACTGATTTCAACCTGCTTTTCTTTTTACTCTCTCGTACATACGAAGTATAGAGAAAGTCTTGTAATCGTGCAAAAAAAAAATCGAGATTTTTACAAATCTCGACGTTTTACACCTCACTGATACGGAAAAACATAATTTTGCAATCTTGTCCGCATGTCTCTCTGTGTGTGTGTGTGTAAACACGATAACGTGTGTCCGTTACAACTAGGTTGATGAAATTTTATATATAAGTATTTTATCAAAATCGTAGATCCCTATCAACTTTTGAGCGATTTCCGACAACCAGAAGTGGTACTTTTTCTATTTTGAATTTTTCAAAAGCCTATAACTTGAGTACTATTTCAGATAGATAAATGAAATTTCACACGTAAGTAAAAGATCTAATTCTCTTCGTTCTGTCAAATTTTGAGTAATTTCCGTTGACCGAAGTAGTAATTTACGCTATTTCCGATTTCTAAAAAAAAAAAAAAAACGCATGTAAATTTATAAAGTACTAATAATATTCCGCACTATTATGCACATTTTGTTTTGGCGTTCGCTTAATGCGCAGTTCTTTTTTCTATGAGATTCTATTCTATTTTATAAAAGATTAAGTATTTAAAATGGATTAAGAAACATAACTATATCCCGAGTTCCCATCCCCTGTTGTTTTATATAAGAATATTCGAGAAAGTTTAAGGGATCGCCGTGATTTTCTTACAGTTTCTAATACTGTTGACTCTCTACAAGCTCCCTAATAAAAGTCATTAGTATTAGAAACTGTAAGAAAATCACGGCGCCCCACGTTTTTGATCGCTTATAGTAGAGTGATCGCTTGCATTATTGTGATGTATAACAATTATTTTCTTTTTAGTTCAATCAGAAAACGTGGGTTTTTTTTTAACTTTTTTAATGATTATTATAGCATGGTTATATGTTGTCCCCCACACACACTAAAAAAACAGGCGAGATCCACCCGCTACGTCAGTAGCACTAAATAATATATGACTGTTTAGTTTAGGCCTGTAGAAGTTTCCGACCTCTGCTCCGCGATCTAGCCGGGTACCAGACGGTAAGACATTTCCCGCGTCTGGTGGTGGGGGAAGTAAAGCCTGGATAGGGCCTACGGATGGATAAGCGACCATCATGTAGTGTTTCAAACCAACATCTCAGTGAGCCTGATTCAGTTCAGCCATTTAGTTGGAGTTCACTACGTCGAGATCTCCCTGGCTAATGGGAGTGAAACTCCTGAGCCTGTATATCCGTGTCACGATAGTTATTGAACTGTAATTCAAGTTTTTATATTGGGCACGAGAAAGCTGGAAATGCATACTAACCTTGAACCAACGTAAATATCCATGAGAATATTATAATGTCGTTACAGAGCAGACGATAAAGACTGGTGGCACGTTTGATTATAGACGCAAAAAGAAAACAAAGAATATCAAACCACACTATGTAGGAAATTATCAATAACATACAGAGGTTAAACTAGGCCCAACTAAAACAGTAAGCACGGTATAAGCGTAAAAAAAACCCACACCTCCATCCTCTTAGGTGTCATTCATTTATGAGGCCCACAAAAAGTTGGATTTCCACAGGCGTCCATTCAAAGAACGTCATCCCTGGCCTGTAAACCCGATATTAATTAACGTTCACTAAAAGTAAAGGCCTATAAATGTTTTTAAAAGTGTAAATCATACAGTATTCACACCAGATGCATGTCATTTAGATCTATGTGTCAGAATTCGACCGCTGTTTTTGTTTTTAACTCTAAAATCAACCCAATTTATTGTTATAAGCAAACGCTGTCCGGGCTGGTATTTATACTAAAGTGTGTGCTCGAGTTTGATATTTTGATCAAAAAATGAAATAAACTTGTCATTCAGGTGAGCGAGTAACATTTCGCTTTGAGTTACAAGAAAAATTTGAGAAACCATATTCTGTGGCTTTCACAGTTCATGGTAAAGAAATACCCCAAAAAAGATGCAAACGATTATTCATCGCAGCTATTTAATTTTAATAATACGCGTCTTACTCATATTTGCAACATTATGAAAGGGAGAAAGAAATAAACTTCCTAAACAAGTTTTATTTTAAGCTACCAACACATGAAAGTGACTTAAATTTAAATAAAGCATTGCGAAAAAGAAGAGAAAAGCTGTCACGAAAGTTAGGTCTTTTAAGCTAACGTAATAATTTTATTTAGTATTTTAGTCCTTATATAAGTCGTAAGTGCAACAATGCTCAGTGAATTTTAGCCATGTTCCATTAAGTTTAAGAATAATGTGTAGCTTTAATAATTTTATAACTAGGCTTGTATTATATATAGATCTTCATATAATTTGAAATAGAAGAGATTTAAATTTGAATAGATCCACAAGGACATCTATGCCACGGAAATAATTATCTTTCTATCTCAACGTACCACTGTATTCTTAACTGCTGTATTTATTAGATCTAGAATGACAATAATCTAGCTCAAGATAGATCTAAATCTAGGTACTTTAGCTAGGCCAATTCAAAAATATTTAATTTTGTTTACGATCTTTAGGCCTACTTAATCTAGATATCTATTATTATATGGCAGGAAACAGATCCAGCCCTCAAGCATCTCCTTTTAGGGTCAATTTTCGCCAATTTTCAAAGTAACAAATATTGACATATTATACATCAATTTTGTTGCTTAACAATCGATGAATTCAAAAATATAAAAATTAATAGCACTAGACATTTACATCACGTTCAAATTGTAGATTAACCACACTCAATCAACTGAATTTTTTTTTACATCTACATGTAGTGAGGTCTTAAAATCCACAAAATTAACAATATAATTACACAGGAATGTCACTTAGGCATACATTTATTTGTAATTATGTCAAACTTTACAAAATATACCAGTTTATAGCTTATTTCTATAATTATTCTTGAAAAAAAAACGACCGCCCTCCCCTTTAAAAAATGTTCAAAATTCTGGCTTTTACTACTTTTAGAAACTCTGGGGAAAAAAAAAATAACAGTTAAATATAGAAAGTCTATATAAAAACAATATTAGTAAAATATGTCTATATGCCAATTTTTTTTATTATTGTTGCAGCATTTAAATGGCTAATTATAATTGTTTAGTACTTTAAACATTAATTTAAAGTTACGACTGTCTGTGGCCTCATTCAGATAGTGTAGTAGTGTAGTGTCAGTGTAGGTGAACAGGGTGTTAGGGCCTGTTAGAATTGGTAATGAACAGAATGTATAATTAGAACTGGTCTATAAAAACAATGTTGATGATAGATGCAGTCGTTTTAATGCTACTTATAATATTTCAAAATGACAAACATAATTAAAACCTAAGAAACTGGAAGCGGTGACCTTTTACTGACACGGTTGTCAAATAGTAAATAGATCTAGATCTACGTAATTTTGAAAATACGCTAGATCTGGAAGCAAAATCACTTTTAAAAACTGAAGTTAGTGATTAGATCTATAATGAAATTGAAATCCACAAGTAATATGTAAGTATCTTTTGATTTAAAAAAAAATACGCTTAGTTTAAGAAAAAAATATTCTATGGTGTACTCGATCCCTATTCCAAAACGTGCCAGCCATATCGCATGCGTAGTCAGCTACTCAGCTGCTTTTCAAATCCATGAATTTTAAAGTTATAATATAATAAAAGTAGGTCACCCTAAAAAAGAGTAAAATGGCTCCCGTTTTCACGACAGCCGTCATCGATTCATAATTTACAGAGTTATAAAGTTCTACTTTCTTTGGGCTATAGATTTAAAGAAATATTAATTTGTTATTTCTCTTGCGTTCCAACATTTGTACCTGATTTTAATAAACATTAGATTAGTAAGGACTCGATTATTGTTTAGAATTAGCCCTCGACACTATTCAAACTATTGCGAAGAAAAAGACTCGCGCGATTGTCGTGCGAAGGCTGGTTCAGTGTGCGAAGGTTGGAACCCGATTTCAGACGGAAAATTTTTACTTTGAAATAATTACATTATTAATTAATTTCGATTTAAAACAAATGGCTTAAAGTCAAAAGTAAACTAAAATTTAAAAACTTTGTTAATCGCAGTGTACTCAAGATTCTCGGGTTTTAAAGATGTCTAGTTTTACTACGCGTGCGTGCATGGTGCGAATATCGATTTTCCCCGACAGAAAATCATTAAAAATTAAAAATAATACTTATATTTTACAGAATTAGATTTAACCAAACTGTTATTTAAATACATGCCTCGTAGTAAAAAAATACAATTTTATATCCGTAAAAAAGTAACTGAAAAAAGTAACTGAAGTCCACGCTTTCAACGACGCCGATGTGTCGTAATTATGGGCATTCATTTTGTTCAAATTAAAGTAAAAAATATACTTTTTTTACTTACATAATTTACAGCAATCATTTCTAATGAAAAAATCCATTAAAAAATAAGTTATATTTACAAAATATTATTTCTTACCTTATTAGTGCAGTACACGTACTTTCCAAGTAGATCCATTCCGTCTAGATTTGCATACTTCGCCGCGGCACAAAATGTCATTAAAAACGTATTCCACAAAAATGTTGCTAACGAAGCTTGTAAAAACATCGCTCTATTCATTAATATAAACAAAATCCCCGAACGATGTCTGGTTAGAAAGTTTACGAACGGCGAATATCGAATATGCATTTTACGGTACCAATCTGTTTCTTGCCATATTATATCTAGTGCTACTGAAAAATTACTAGTACTAGATTCTAGGTCTATCTAGATGTATCATTTACTTACGAGGCACTAGGCATACTTTTTTCTCGCTAGTCAATAATGTAGATTTCTAGATCTAAATGTAAATCTAGATCTTGTAGATTTACGTAGGTTTGCATCAGTGTAAATCGTTGATCAAGTAGATCTAGATCAGCTCTCGTCAAAACAAAATGGCTGGAATCTTGTCTTCAGTTCACCTATAGTTTATGCTTTCCTAATTGTGGAGAGTATGTTTTATTCTCAACGACAGTGTCAACTGAGAAACCACCAAAGGGTTTTTTTCTCATCAGACACAATCGGAGAGACGCTCAACGATTGTCGTTGAGATGATCCGCATGGGGTGAAACAGTATAGTTATAGGTATGTCAAATGGCAGTTTAAAAAAAACAACAACTCCGTTTTCGCCCAAATGTAGTAGTAGATTTTCACTTCATAATATAACTTTGTACCATTATAAAAGTTGAATTTTTTAAATAACTATTTTCAGTTTTCATCAACCCCCCCCCCAAGTCAACCTTTGTTTCGTCCATTTTTTTCTACTCCAAATATTTGAAAAACGTTAATAAAACTCAATATTGGTATAACAAGACAAATTAAAAAAGTCAACATGTTTACTGTTATTATTTCCTTCAAACTACTGTTATTCAAAAAGGCATTAAGAACAATTTTTACAACTTCTGCTTCTGTTGTAATAGCAGCTCCAGATATTTCAAAACAAATACATTACACAAAATCTGTTTAAATAGATACACAAAATTCAGATAAATAATATAAATGTTGGTAAAACTGATAACCAAACAGTAAAAAACAAAACGTTAAGATAAGTGGCATTTATTTGTAATAATTATATAAACATAAAAAATATATGAAATATTAAAATAATGGGAATGTACAAACAGAACCAACAACAGAACCAGGAAATAAGTTAGTAAAATGGAGTAGAAATTAGTTTTTGGGATAATTTTTAATGACTCATTTAAAAGATTTGAAGACTAAATCAAAACATGTCTAAACTATACTCTTTCACAAATGCATGTCTTTTGCCTACCTTTGTACAGGTAACACTGACTTAGCATCAGTTTTAATTAATGCAAGTGGTTATAATATGCTTAACTTAATATATTTTTTTGATGATTTTCTTTAAAACAACAAATACTGATAATCTTAAAGTAAGGAGAAAAATTGACAAACCTCAGCAACAACTTATTCAGTTTACTTGTTTATTGTGTGTGTGGCAATTTGGTAATAAACAAGATGAAACTGTCATAAAAATAATGTAAAACAAAAATACATTATAGATCTAGTAATATTTTCTTACAGGGATGAAATTATGAATTTCTTACAAACATTTGCTGGATCATAGTTAAAAAAAAAAGAAAGAGGCACTGTTTATTTTATATAAAAATAAGTTCTGATACTTTTCTTAGTATTACTTAGAAAAAAAGTTCTAAAGTTGTGAATGATTTTTCTTTCAACACTTTAAAAAAATAATTATATTTTGCAACTTTTTAGTACATACTGTGTTTAAGACTAATAAACTCCTACAATTTCCACCTTTGACAGATTAAATAATCAGCTAGCGAATCTTTGCTTTTACAAAATATAAAGTTATAAAAGCATTCAGTTTTAAAAAAATGACAAATAATTAGTTACAGACTTGGAGATCATGATTCAATTAAACATACATGATTTTTTTTATACCTCAACAACATTAGTCTGTTTTAAAAAGTCTAGTGCAAAAATGTACTTTACTAACAGTCCTCATAGGCTTTACGTTTCTTTGAATTGACCAAATCTGTTGTCGAGGCTGAGTTGCATTTTTTGGATATGCTTAAATTACGAGGAACAAGAAATACATTTCCATCACTGGATTGTTGAAGTGAAAAAAGATTAGGATCATAAGGTTCTCCTTGCTCATTTCTTAATGACTGAAAAATATTAGTGTATAATTTGCTAAATTTATCTTTCATCTTACGAGTGTCTCTTTCCATCTCAGCTCTTTCTGCAATCAATTTATCCCTGGCTCTTTGTAGATCAGTCATTTCATCAGCCAAACTAACAATTACATTTACTTTTCTCTTTCTGCAATTTTGAGCCGCAACTTTATTCTTTCCTCTGCGACGAATGTCTCTGATTAAAGTTAGCTGTAACAATTTATATGCCATATTTAGCAAAAATTAACAAAAATAAATGATAATAAAATAGAGAACAGAAAATTCACATTGTGATTGTGGAATTTAAAAATTTTAGGTAAAAATAGTGCAATGCAAAAAGTAACATTCTGTTAACCCAATAAAATAATGGTACCAGCAAATGGCTTTTTATTCTTAACTAGCATATCCGTCCCCGCGCGTTGCCGCAGGAATAGAAGAAAGTCCGACAAAATATATAAGAAGGGTTTCATCCATGCGTTACCAATACTATATTCTCAGATGCAGTGACCTTGTTTTCTAAAAGTGAGTTATTTAAATGTAAACAATGCCTGCGCTTGGATCATTAATATTCGGACACGGGTTTACCTACACTACCGCATGAAAACCATGAGTGTACATTAATGATAATCACCCACCGAAATAATGAGGTAGTACACACATCTGTGACCGCCCATGTGTCAGGAACGTAGAGGGGCGCTCTTCGGAGCCCCCCCCCACCCGATTACACTACCGCATAGGTGCAGCGTACAGTCCCTGGCTTTCTAAAAATATCAGGCGGCAATATGCTCATAGGATAACCCAGAGTGCCAAATAGCATCCTGTTAACAATGATGCAGATTGCTAAAGGGACACAAATGAACAGGATTTTTCTTTAACACGTAAAAATAATATTTGACGTGTTTTAAACATCAGTGTGACTGATGCAATATGTTAGTGTTACTAATGGTCTATTATTAGATGCTCGATTTCAATTTCTGATTGGATTGTCTAAAAATTTATGGTAATTACATCATTCGCAATGTGACTAATCTGTTTGGATTTTTTTATGGACAAAAAGAAACATCCCAGTTAACAATCTAGAACGGTGTCAAACCGCAATCGACATTTATTTTTATATACCGTATTTAGAGAAAAATCGCACCCTCCTGTGGCGCCACCCTTGTGAAGTTAAAAATGATTTTTTTACAGAACCCATTCCCTGGAGTGTTCTAATCAACTCCCCAAAGTTTGATAGCAATCGGATGAGCGGTGTAAAACCTAAATCGACGTTTATTTTTATATACCGTATATAGAGAAAAAAAAATCACCCCTGCGAATTTTAATTTTTTTTCCCGAAGAAGCCTGCCCAGAGAGATTCTTAGCAGCTTCCCAAAGGTTCATGGCGATCATGTGAACAGTGTCACTGCAATTCACTTTTATTATTTTTATGTACCACATGTAGAGAAATATCGCACCCTCCCAAGGCGCCGCCCTTGCGAAATTAAAAAAAGAATTTTTTACAGAACCCTTTCCTAGAGTTTTCTAATGAACTTACCAAAGTTTGATGGCGAGCGGATGAATGGCGAGAAGCCACAATCAACTTTTTTTTTTATATACCGCTAATAGAGAAAAACAAATTGCGCCTTGCCGTGGCGCCACCCCTGCGAATTTGAATTTTTTTCTCTCGCAGAAACCTCCCCAGAAATATTCACAACAATTTCCCAAAGTTTCACGGCGATGTTATGAGAGGTGTAGTAATGCATAAAAGACAAACAGACACACATTGCTTTTTACATTTATAGATGATTTTACAAACAAGGCACTTCGACAGTTAAGAGGTAAAATAATTTAAGCTTTAACTATCATGTTATGATGTTCTCAGTAAAACAAGAAATATATTTTAGAAGAATATAGAACCGTAGCAGCTTTCATAGACTATCCAGCTGTGTTTGATTGTTACTTCACTTGTGCTCACTTGGCATATATTTGTGTTAAATAGTACAAGTGTGTTAAATAACATAAGTTTAAGTGTAAAAGTATGTTATTCATTTCTTGAAAGCTTTTAGCTTAAATTATTGTTATTCCTGTTCAGTCATGTTTAGTTAGTTTAAATATTGTTTAAATAAACTGTAACCTTTTGTTATTATTCTCTATCATACTACTGTTTATTGTGACATCAGACGAGCCAAAAATTTCTTTGCCACCTTCAAGCTGTGTTGGAAATGGATATTTTTTTTTGGGATGGGAGTAGTGTTGTAATACAACCTGAGTGATAAAGCCTGTGCCCTGGATTTCTTTAGTAAGTAACTAGATCTATTAACAATTTTTATTATGGATTAAAAACTAACTTGACTGTATAATATTTTTTTAAATTTATGAGGTTAGGGCCTATATTTTTACATTTAAATGACTATTGCAAACAAAGAATATATCAGTGTTATAGTAAATGCTGTGTAATACCTGGTGTTTTTTAAAAATAATATTTGGTTCCTTTAAATAAATGGATGAATTGTGATTTTCTTTAAAAAGGACCAAAGCATCCTATAAATAACCATCACCTAACAACTTGTGTCTGAATGAAATATACCCTCACACTTATCCCTAATGCAATGTAAAATTTAGTTTGCAATTATATTAATGTACAACAAGGTAACATTAGTTATGAAAATAATTTTATGTCAACTGTACCTGGGATTCATCCAGTTTATGGGACAGCATCATTTCATTGAATTGTTCAACTGGGGATTCAATAATTTCTTCAATAGAAAAAGGAACTTTAAGCTCCTCAGCACGTCTCTGGTCTCTACTTTGAGGACCTTTCCGAAGTGGTTCTTTGGGTAAATATTTTTTAACCTAGCGATACAAATAGTTCAAACATTTTTACATGATGAACAGTAAACCATGTTCTATAAACCAATTCTAAAAAATAAACATTAAATAAACATTAACAAACAGTAACAGTCAAAGTACAGGAGTGATACGCTAGATTAATCCATGGGGCAAGAAAAAGAAAAATTTGCCAAGGAAACAAATCATAGAACTGTAACAGGCTTTGATTTTTTAATGAACTGTATGTGTGACTAAATATAAGCTCAAAAAGCATAACATGAATGGCAACATTGGGTGGGAGAGCTTATGATTGCTAACTCCAAATGTGTCTAGTTTGGACCCTGGACTGAGGCTCAGTAGTAGTGGACAGCAACCATCTAGGAGAAAAAGCTCTAACGATCAATCCAAAAGGCTGTGGAAGCTAATCCAAAGAGAAAAGCAGGCTAGAGTCAAATATGGAACATTACATGTTGGCACATAAAGCTTAATTATGTTGGAGGAAATAATCTCCAAATGACAAAAATTATTTTAATCTATTGGAAAATATTGCCCACCACTATTCAGACGGATCGCCTCCTTGTGACAGGACAGTAAAGTATAAGACAAACACATTTTTTACTTATTAAGTTAATGTAATATTTTTTAAGCATGCATAGAAGGTGATATCAATATTGAAAACGTTTTAATGACAGGTTAAAAAGTAGCTAAAAGTAATAAAATATTTTACCTCTCTTGGGACATGTCCAGGAAGAGTATTGTAAGTATGATTATGAGCGACCAACTGAGGTGCTACTGTGTAAGTTCCACAAGGATCTAGCTCTGTATCATTGCTTGATGTTGAAATATTACCTCCATAAAAACCTGATGGACTACCAACACTAGATGACGATGAAGAGGATGAAAATCCATCATGCATTGCGAAGCCAGAATCTCTGGATGATTCCGATAGATGCTGAACTTTTGACTGCCCATGTTCCATCAAATCTTGACCTAAGGTAAAAACCGAGCCCCCTATTGCCCCTTCAAGTCCATCAAAACCATTACTGAAATCCTGAAATGTAACCATAGTTAAATGCTCAATTACAATAGCATTTTTCAGTTATCTGTATGAAATTTTGAGTATTTTTCACAGGTATATTTTAAAATCCTTTATGGAAAAGTGGGGAAAGGGTAGGAAAAAAAACAAACACCTAAGACCAGCAAAGAGAAAAACAATGACAAACTTAACGTAACATTATATAGTAATATTTACTTTCAATTATGTTAGGTGAAGTTTAAGTTCCTTAAAGTTTAGGGATAAAGTGGCTTAAACCAACAGAGCTTAACATTGATTTTAATTGGGCAAAGTGAAGCTCCTCTGTCTATCTCTTCCACCCTACACTGGGTCTACACCTCCACTAGCATCTTCCATAAGGCTCATTGCCATGTATAAATACACTTTTCTTATTATAAAAATGTAAAAAAAAACCAAAAAACTAGGGTCTAGAATGGATTAATAGCATTTCAATTAATATAAATGGAGAAAAATGCTTTGAGATATGAGTAATTTGACTCGTATCTCGAGGTACCACTGTATCTCACTATTTTAAACAAACAACAGTAGTGAATACAATTGTTACTTCACCTACAAAATGAAAAAAATTGTGTCAATAATCAGACATATCATTAAAGTTATGGCCAACAGAAAATTTAGCTTAATGATGCATTGAACTTTTCAATTAGTGGCAAAATTATTCAGTGGAAGCCATTTTGTGAAAATAGAGATTGTGTTTTTAAGTTGCATAAGTAATTAATGGTGGTGTTTTACTTAAGAATACTTTATTAATTAAACTAACATCGTCAAATAAATGTGTGTATAACATTTTAAGAAAAAACGTTTTTCTCTACATAAATTTATAAGTTCTACACATAGTCCAGACTCTCTGATCAAGCGTAACTGACTAAAAAAAATAAATAAATATACAAACATATAAACAATAGTGAGTTTTAGAAGAATAAAGATAAAGAAAAGCAGGGGTCACTTTATGAGTTTTAGTAAAGGTATTCAATATACCAGCGCTTACTTTATAGTTATGTTTTTTCCAATACTTCCAATTTTTTTAATACAACAGAAATGCATGACTTAAAACAACTGTGCATCAAAATGATCAAGAAAAATTTGCATATAATAGCGCAAAACTGATATTTGAGCTGTTTGTTACTTATATTGGGTGATGTTAGAGTGGTATAAGATTATCTTTTGGGTGAAGTATGAATAGTATCTTCTTAAAAGTTAATTTTAAGCACTAGTTTTTAAATTAAAAAATGAGGTTGCAGTTCCTTTGAAATAAATTTGTAAGTTGACATGGTTTTAAAGTTAAGAAATGATTGGGTTAGGTGAGCATAGAGTAGAAAATTAGTTAAACTAACCAATAGTTTCTCAAGCAACCATACTCATATATTAACCCTTTGAACCACAGAATTCCACTTTTTGGTCAGTGTTTTATCTTAAACATCCATGCCTCTGCAGATTGATAGATAGGTATGTGATACCTTACCCTAGATCAGGGGTCTCCAAACTTTTCAGCCCGAGGGCCGCATTGACTATCAAAAATAATTTCGGGGGCCATAGATTCTTCAAGGCATCTTTTCGGGGTGGTGAGCTCCCCCCTCCCCCCGCACTAAAATATAATTTATATAGAAATATATACAAATTTCAAGTGGACAAAAAGATCTCCGCGGGCCGGATGAGAGGAGCTCGCGGGCCGCATCCCGCCCGCGGGCCGTAGTTTGGAGACCCCTGCCCTAGATCGACAATCTGTACATAAATGAGATCTTAAAAGATATCTTAAAAAGCAAGTGAATAGTACTATTGTTTTTGTGGTGGTCCCTAACACAGCTGCGCCCATTTGCAGTGTACTTTGAAAAGATGCATTTAAACTTCCAACAAGCATCATTTTAACTATATCCATACATACCTATATCTGAAAGTAGGCCTACTTATGGTGGACTGGCATACTAAGCAGAATTAATGACAATGATACATGTACAAAAATAATAAAATATACATGTATAAATGTTTATTAAAATAATAAAATTAAATTGTTTTTATATTTGTAATTCCATTGAGAGTCGGTTGTGTGTACATTTAACTCAAGCTCAATGGGAGGGAGATTTTGGGGTTAAGAGCTAAGGGTTCAAAGGGTTAACACTTGAATGACCATTGCTTTTAGTTAGTAGATCCCTGGCAGCAATGGGTTTATGCTGCTTGTATAAAATAACGCTCAAGTTAACCTTACATGGTAAAATGAAAGATTGTCTCCAGCTGAAGACTGGTTTAAGCTAACTTGAATTTCTTGATGAAGATTATCATTTAGTTCTTGAAAACTGTTATCCATATCTATGATATAAGAAGAAGAAAAAAGTCAGGCAGTGTTATTGTAAATATCTAAAGAAATATTTGAGCAATAACACATCTGGAGAAGCCTGTCTTGTTTCGAACCAAGACAGACCCAAAACAATACTTTTAAATAAACCTCCAAAACATTATGTTTCGACTGTTGCAGTCTTTTAAAAATTACATTGATTAGGATAGAAAAAGTTATTTTCTAGCAGTTCACAAACAATCTCCAAAAGCTAACAATGAAAGAAGAAATTTCTATTTTCTTTATTTAAGTCACATAATGAAATCTTTTACTCACCTCAATGACTAATACTTTAACAGAAAGCAAATTTTTATACTTTATTTGTATTCAGTGTTGTTATATTGTTTTTTAAAAAATGTTTTACTATTAATTGAAAATGTTCATAATAAAACATTGCAATTTAATAAAATAAAAACTAAATTAATAAGTTATAAAGTTTTACTTACTATCAGTAAAAGGCGTAACAGTATTTAATAAACTGTTATGATTTTCGGGTAAGTGAATTAAAAAGTCATCAATGCCAGTGACACTCAGATTGTGATTATTATGAATCTCTAGTGGGTTTATAAAGTTAAGCCCACTAAGGTCATAATTTAATGATGAGTTCACATCTAAAGTAGAAAAATTGAAATATAATGCTATTAACTATTTAGGGATAATCTTGCATTTTTTATGGCTATGCCACTTTTTAAAGTGACTAAAAAGGGGTAAAAGAAATCAGATTCTTGTATAAACTAAGTAGCACATCTTTTGCACAGATAGCCATTACCATAACAATTATAATAATTTTGGATTAATATAAGTACCCAATTCATTCTGAGGTGAAACCAATGTAACATTCTTAATTAGATAATTATTCTGTAGCTCAGCTTCCTCTGTATTGAATGATTCAGATGTTTCCAGCTTGTCAGTATGATTAACCAAATCATCAGCAACATTGCCAAGATATTCTAAAAAACCATTCCAGTTGTCTTCAACATTTACTTGCTGCTGAGTAAGGTTAGTCTGAAAAATGAAAAAATGTATTTGACATGGTAGCTTTTGTGGCAATAACAGTAAGCCTTGCTTTAATTTTGAAAATCAAAGTTTAAGTAACTGTTAAAAATGTTACTAAATCTATTTAATTTTAATGACTTTGTAAAACTTTCAATGCAACTGTAATTTCTACATTAAATAATTAAAAAGATGTAATACCTCTATTTCTCGGTCATGTTGTTTTTCCAAGGTATTGATGCATGTATTTAGGCTTGTGCCAGTGCAACTCTCCAAATTTTCAACAAAGCTTTGGTCTACAGTTGATGATATGTACTCTAGAGCAGCTTCAAGAGTAAGAAAGTCCTGAAATAGATCAATTATAAATAAATACAATTTGATATAATTTCAATAGTTAAAGCTTAATAAAATTGTAAGTTCTTTTTTAAAATTATAATAATTCATGTTTTCTATTGAAATAATCCATTAAACATTGACCCAGCCTAAGTGAATATCCCAATTATCTGTTTAAGTGAAAGCTGGGTAGTATTTTGAAAGTTAGCTTTATTAAACAATTTTTTTGTATTTGTAAGATAGCAGTTACTTTTATGATGTATTCACCTACATTGTTTGCTTCAAAATTCAAAGCAACATTTTCTGTTCCATTCTGTAGGCGAACCCACTCACCTAAAATAGAACAAAAATAGATTTTAACAGTTTTTATATTTTCCCCTAATATTTTAAAGCAGCAAGAGATAGCTACAGGACAGTGATGGTTTTATTCAGAGATTCATTCAACCACTGCTGGTGCTACCAGCATGTGTGGTGTGTGTAAAAATGTGTAATTGCCATTATTAAAAAATAGCTAATAATTAATAACTGATTATAATATATAGACAGGGTAACATAGTAAGATAAATATTGAATTTTATATAAATATTTTAATCTTGAACATTTCAGATGGTTAGATAATTTTAATGTTGATTTAGAGATCTCTCCAGCGCATGATGCAGTGTTCTAAAACATGTGCAATTTTTATTTTAAATAGGACTAGGAAGTTTTGGTTTTATCTCACTTAGAATTAGAAGTCTTGTTAGCCAGGGAGAAATTTAAATTAATGTGAAGATGATTCCCATTGAACAAGTTTTAATTGATGCTGCTGAGATTATAAAGGAATTAAAAATAGAAGCAAAGATCCTTAACAGAAATTCAAAGTAGATTTCTCCTACACTATCTTGGACATGGCTATACAGTCTATTGAAGAGAGGTTACAACAATTAAAACAACATAATAAAATTAATATTCTATTGGGCTTCTTTTATTATGTATACAATATTAACAAGTATGTTGTTTCCTGGAGAATATTATTAACACTCCCAGTTTCTATGGCTAGGGGAGAACGAAGTTTTTCAAAATTGAAATCAAATAAAATTACTTCCTGTCAACTATGTCACAAAGCAGTCTCGTGGACTTAGCAACAATTTCAATAAAAAAGTGGTTACGTGGGGAAGATTATTAAAGTAAATAAAGTCCCCTTTCAAACCTGATGGTGTACGGGACAAGTGAAGTAGAGTTCACTTGTTTCTGTGACCTTAGATATGAAGGGATAGTATGGTCAGCATTATGCCCAGCTGCCTTTACTTACCCTAACGTGAGTTAGGTACCTATCAGAGCTGGGTGTACTCAGGAACAGTCGACTGACATGGACCGGATTAAAACTCGAGACTAACGGGTTAGCAGTCCAGCTCTCTACTGCTAGGCCACTCCATCCCATACGCGGGGAAAAGGCATGAAAAATTTCAATTTAGATTTTGAAGTCTACTTGTGAATTTTTTGTAATAGATAATAAATTAACATGTCACTTTAAAATTATTGTTTTTAACAGATATTTTTTTTTATAATAAATTTGTTTTTTAATAAGTTGTACATAGGGCGCTAAATGACCTGGCGCCGGCACTGCAATCAACAAGGCTAATAATGTTTCTTTGTTTTTTTAAAAACTTAAACCTTCACCTAAACGTCAATACATATCTAAACTTGAACAAGAACCAGAACCCCGAACTAAAACTGGAAACTTAACAGTTCTCTCTATTGTGTTCTTATACATATTTTTAATGTAAGACAAATAAATTGGGTGGTGAATTGTAGTCTATTTTGAATTTTTGTATTTCTTTTTCTGCGTTGTACTTTTAATTTACTTTAATTTTGACTTATTTGATATTTTGATTTCATGTGACAACAGCATTCTTGACAGACTGAATAGTGAAGGAAGGAGGCTCTTGTATGTAAGAACATGTTCACAGCAATAAGGGCATGATTAACAAAAGGCTGATAAGTGTATCATAAACCTAGAGCTACAACCAAAAGCAGCTTTTGTTTGCCAATCCTTGAATTGGATATAGTAAATATACCAGTAAATGAATGAAGTTATGCAGACAATATTTAATTTAAGATGACTGTCAATCTAAAGAAACTTTACTCTATGCGGATATTAAACCCATATTATTTGGCTACCACCACATATTTCTGCAATATGGCAGGGAATATATTTGGTGGAGCTTATGATTTGAATTACTTCATTAAACTTTTTTGCTATAAAACAATATGCCCATTAATTAGTTTTTGGGTCTGAAGCATCCATACAAGGTTCTTACCACCAAATAAAATGCTTTGGTCTTCTAAGTGATGTAGTGAATAATGTAAACATTAAAATGAATTATTTTGTTCAAAGATGTTTTAGAGTTTGATCAGAGGTACAGATATTAGATATTGGTACGCAAATAAAAAAAAATCTGATGTCTAGTAAGAATACGGTAATTGATTTAACCCTTAGCTTGATATCAGTAAATTACACTATTCCTTAGCTTGATATCAGTAAATTACACTATTATCATCTCCATTTATTTTATTTTCTACCCCTTAAATTTTCCCTAATACTTTTAGATAAGAATTAACTTAAAAAAAAGGTCCATATTTAAAGGATTCCAATTTTAAGGTTTTTTTGTGGACTAGAAAACTCAACAAAATTATTATTCAACCTACTAGTCCATTTCAAGATTCACTAAACCTGAATTTTAGACTGCCTAAAAGTGCATACAGTGGTAACTCAAGATGCAAGTTTAATTAGTTCCATAACATTGCTCATATATGTCAAATTATCTGTATCTCAAAGCAATTGTCTTCACTGAAATTAATTGAAATCCTATTTCTCCGTTCCATGCTCCAATGTGCCAACACCTTTGTTAAGTGTTTTTTTAATATAAGAAAAGCAGTTCAAATATGTTTTCTAATAACATCCTCTAATTTCCTACACATCACAGACACTTCTCAAAACAATATGCATTATAGACAAGATTGAGCAGATGTAGACTTCCCAATCCATGGAGCTCTTGTCTAAGTTTCTGTTCATGGACTAGACATGCACTCACATCACTGCTTCTATCACATTGTCCCCATTATCCTCAACAACTGTGCACTGAACTTTTCTCCCTCTATTTCTCATTTCTTTAAATACTTAGTTCACAATTATAACACCTCCTAGTCTCTGCCCAGAGGTTTCATTACCAGTCATTCCATTGTTCTATCAACACAGCTTACTAAACTAATGTTGTCCACCTATTTTTTGCTTAATTTTTTTGCTTCACAATGATTATTAACCCTTTACTGACCATGCTCTAGATTTTTTTCCCTAGCAGTAGGATCAAGCAGAGGGTAATAACTTTTTTTTTTTTTTACAATTGTTGCTTAGAATAATTAAGTTATTAAAATATCTGTGTGCATTTAAAAATTAAAACAAAATGTAATTCACAGAGAAAAGTATGTGTAGATTATTGTACATTATTTCTATTTACCATGCAATTAACATTTTAATTAAAAAAGCAGCAACTTATATTTAAAAAAAAAAAAGGCCTACAGAGAACAGGAGTTTCTGGGTACATTTGGCCACATAAGACTGTAAAGAGTTTAAGTGTCAGGGCCAGACATACATAATAGTGAGCACAGGTATACTGATTTTATCCTCTAAGAGTATAAGGTAGAACTAACTAGTTTTCATAAAAGTGCAAAATGAACATTACAAACCAATCAAATATCAGTATCAGATGCTGGCCAAAATTTAAAAAAAAACAACTTCAGAGCACAAAAAAGTTACCAGTTTCTCCATCTCTCCTGAAATTTTCCTTGAGCCACCTGTCAGCTTGCTCTTGCTTTTCTCTTTCTTCCTTCTCTTTAACAAACAGCTGTGATTTTTGCTAAACAAAAAAATATTAATAACTGTTAAATAATTTCAAATACTATTATAAGCCAAATAGGCTGGTCAAACAGTGCTTGGGAAAAAAAATTAATATTTTGGAGGGTGCTCTTTAAAATTAATGAAAACTCCATATTTCTCACCCAGGAGCTGACGGATGCACCTGATTCTATTTAATCAAAGATCTAAATAAGACTGTAGATGCCATAGTGTTTATGTTATGAGGGAGCATGGGATACCAGACCCCCCCCCCCCCCCCCCCCCAAAAAAAAAAAAACCTCGGGAATATTCATCAACTCCCAAAAGTTTTAAGGGACTCCAATAAGCGGTGTCGAATGACTTTTAATTTTTTTTAATACATCGTATATAGAGAAGAAGTGCATCATCTCAGGGCACCGCCCTTGCGAAATTAAAAAAGGTTTTTTTTTGGTACAGAAACCTAAGCTGGTGCGTTATAATCAACGTGCCATTTGATGCCGATCGGATGAACTGTGTGAAACCGCAATAGACTTATTTTTATATACCGTATATATATAGAAAAAAAATCGCCACCCCTAGGAATTTGAAATTTTTTTTCCCCGCAGAAACCTCCTCAGAAGTATTTTGAAAAACTTCCAAAAGTTTCATGGCGCTCATATGAAAAGTGTAGTAATGCACAAAAGACAGACACACACATTGAATTATATATATATATAGCAGGGGCAGAACTGCATTGCCACCAGATTCCGCAATGGGGGGGTCGGTCGGTGATCATTATCAATTTTTTTTATAGTTAAAAAAATAATAATTTTCTTGCAGTTTTGACTAGATGGTTGTTTTGTAAAAAAGAATACTGTAGCTGCGATTGGATTATCTTTATTCAATAGACACCATCCTGAGTCCTCTTTCTACTACAATCAAATACACGATGTAGTCGGCAAAATTCTTTTGAAAATAAATCTGCCTCTAGATATTAAGAAGACTTTTGCTTCTTTATAAGCATTAATTAGGGGCCCACAATCCATTGTGATTTTATAATGTAAAATGTTCGTTTGTTGTATTGGTAGAACTACTATTTTGTACTATCCTGTATTCTACAAATAAGTAAAAAGAATATAATTACAATAATTTTGGTTTTAAGTAGATCTACATTTACTTCTTTTCCTTTTACTAAAAAATACGATAGCAAACATGTATAATTTGAATTCTCTCCCTTGAATGTTTTACAATATGGTTTTAGGAAAAGTAGTTGAGACCATCCCAAATTTGCTACTGATGGATAGAATTGGTGCTTTGAGTTCCTTTCTGAGCCCCCTCCCCTAAAAGTAACGGCCAGGTATATGAATCGTTTGCGAACTTCATAGCTATTCATTCTTCATTTCTCACATTTTATCAGACACTAGTCAGCTGATATTACTTTAACACCATATTATTAATTAGTTTGATGTCATAAAACAAGGAAAGTAAGATTATTTTTTTTATCTTATTAGGACATGAATTTATTGAACATTTACAATCTATTAATATTACTAAATGATGACATTTAGGGATGAGGGTCTAGCCATTTGCGAGTTGTCAAAAAAGCATGATGTCTTTATGGATGTCCCTTAAATCAGAAGGTTTTCCTCCGTGTGAGCTGGGCACATACAGCTGTACATATGAACATCATGTGTCTGTATTTTATGCATTACTATACCGTTCATGCTACCACAATAAAAATTTGGAAGTTTTTGAGTACTCATAGACATAATTTAGTTTAAATTGTGTAGTTGAGCGCCTTGAGATCCACAGTGGCTATCTAAGCACCAAGGGTCCGCTTACTGGGTGTCCTGCACAGGGGGATAGGTGTACTACTAGAATCATAAGTCTCGCTGCATTAAGGGCCTCCACCGGTGGCCATGTCCAGGAGCTCCGTGATGCCTCTGAAACTAAGGTTGATGCAGAGGTGCGTTTCTTTCACAATCAGCATAAACCGGAGCGTGTTTGTGGTGGTAGTGTGTACAAACCAGCGCCCCAACAACTAAGCCTTTTATAGTTCCACCACTGGTACCTTGATAGTGGTTTTGTAAAAAAAAAAAAAAGATCTACTACAGTAGCGACGTTCTACAGTTGCTAACACACGCTGATGCATAAAAAAAAAGATATATACATGAGTTGAACTGTGAAAGATAGGCAAACGTTCAAACCACTACCATGACTTATTTCCCTTTTTTAAATAGTCGAATATGTGCAGAATAAAGAAGGACATGGTATTAGAAAGGAAATGTATTTAAAACTAATAATATAAATACAAAAAAAAAACAACATAAAAATAAACATTACACCAGAAACCATTGCACATACTAAGCTTTCATGCTTCATATTCTTTAGATTGACTTGCTTTTAGGAAGCACTATGGTAGACATATATTGAAACAAAGACTTTCAAAACAGAATAATAGCACTCACACACATGATGTGTTGTTGTAACTTGTTTTAATTTCTTTTAAAAACTAAGAATTAAATATTTTTTTCGAATCAACCCGAAATGAGTTCTATGTTCATGTATGTATGTATATATATATTTATATATATATATATATATATATATATATATATATATATATATATATATATATACATACATACATATATATATATATATATATATATATATATATATACATATATATACATATATATACATACATATATATATATATATATATATATATATATATATATATATATATATATATATATATATATATATATATATATATATATATAAAATATATATAATATATATATATATATATGGGGCCCAAAAAAGTATTTGTGAGGTGGCCTTTTTTCTAGTTCAACCACTGAGATAGTCATGATTCATGAACTGGGGGGGAGGGGGTTAATTGACAGGGGGTAAGTGCTCCAGGGGGGGGGGGGGGAGAGTTGGCGGATAGTAACGTCCAGAGGGTCCTAGACCCCAGTGCAGAACCTCCTGGCGTCAACCCCCCCCCCCCCCAACCACCACAAAAAAGTTATCTGCAATATATATATATATATACACACACACTACTGGTGTTACTCCCTCCCATTTTGTCTGGGGGGGGGGGGGGGGGGGGGGCGGGGCAGTAAATTGTGCACAGTGAATAGTAACTGCAGTCGGTTATTAATACAGTTGAATGTACCATTGTTTTCCCTATAGTTAGAAAGGTTACGTCATTCTACCCAGTCTGAATCTCCAATTTTTACTTCGGCTATTAATACAGCTGGATGTACCATTGTTTTCTCTATAGTTAGAAAGGTTACTTTATTCTCCCCAGTCTGAATCTCCAATTTTTACTTAAAATACTTTAACTCTAATTAATTGTTAATTATACTGGAAAAAAGCATTTATCTTCGATATATTTTGCAATGTTTTGTCTTGGTGTCAAAACCCACGCCCCAGCCTTGCTATGCCTCTGTCTGAATGTAATTAGTGGGTGTAAAACACAGGGAAGGGGATTTTCTGAAAGCATGTGACCACACACTTTTGCAATAGTTAGAAAAAGAATTTTCAGATGTTTCATGCTGGTAAAAAATAACATTAACGTTAGGGAATGGGTGTCGTGTATGATAAGAATGACTGAAATGTATGTTTGAATAACGTAAGATATTACCATGTTGAGTTGGGTTTATTTTTTTAAAAACTACCACTGCCATCTTAATTTTACTTTTAATATGCAGGATAAGTTTTTTTGTATATTCCCACATGGACCAGAAACTCCCTCCAGTACATGATGGTCGATTTTTCGACCCCTTTTTGTGGATGTAAAAAATATATGGGTGTTTGTATGTGTTTGTACGCCTATTGTCTAGTGGCAGTTCATAAATGATGTTACATTTATTAGCCAATTATTAACCCCGCCCTATATCGTCAATAATAGACACCCCACCAAACCATATATTGTCAATAATAGACACCCCACTAAATGACATGTTTGGCACACAGCCTCCTTCTCACCTAATCTATGACTATTTTTTTTATAGCTGCCTATAACCCTGATATGCTTTTTGAAAAAGTGTGGGGAAAATTGAGAGATAAAACAGTGTTGATGCACTGTCATTGATTGAATAAATAACAGCTGTAGCATTTTCACACTGGCCAGTCACACAAAAAAGTCTATGATGGACATCTAAAAATTCCCTCCACATGAATTAGTATATGATTGGTTTCTTCTATTAACCAGAGACATACATAAAAAGACCTGTAGACCTGACGTAGGGAAAGTAATTGGGGTTGATTCCCTTAACAATAGCTTTTTAGTTAGTTGCGAAATACAGAGTCATACTCTACTGGAAAAGTTTTGTTTCTCAAATTAAATTCCCTCACATTTTTATGCTGCCCCAAAAACTAGCCATTTTCTAGACCATTTCAAAATCCTCTTTTAAATTTTGGACTTTTTCAGATTTGTGTCTGTAAGTATATATGTGTCTGTATGTACATAAATAAATAAAATCAATTTAGATTCTGTGAACTGTTTTTTAAAATGAATGTGGAATGACAAAAAGTTTAAGAACTTCTGATCTAGATTAAATATCAACAGAAAGTAATGTATGGATATAAAATTACCTCATCATGTTGCTTTTTTATTTCTTGCTCTCTTTCCCTTTCAAGTTCTTGGCGCAGAGTTTTATCAAACACTTCTTTGCCCAAGCCCAAATCAACATCTTGTTGCCAAAGAACATCGATCAGATCTAAGTCCTGAAATACATACCAAATTACAAAAAGTCTCTTCATTTTTATCTATTTTATTACCACTATCAATCTACTATTAACTAACATAATAGTATAGCGAATTGCACTTTGTCTAATATAGTGATTCTTGACCTGGGTTTGATCGAACCCCAGGGCTTTCGGTGAGTCTGTCTCAGGGGTTTGGCAGAGGTCCAAAACACAACAGACTCATATAATTTGTATTTTGTCAGTACGGAGGATAGAACTAGAGGCTGATGGCAGTTCAATTATGACATGACATGACATAGTAATAAACTAAGTGTTTCAAGGCGAGATAGCACATACCCAAATCTTAATGTCTATTTTTGGAAACAAACTTGACGGTGTGACACAAATGCGACATCAGTAAATATTCATTATGTTTTTGTGTCAAAATTGTACATTAATTGATTTTGTGTTTTGAACAAAATGATTAACAGTTCACTTGTTGCACCAGTAAAATATTTACCTATGTTTTGAATCATTTAATTTTTCCTATTAAGAATGGTAAGAATGGTTCTCATGAATGTGCATATGAAGGTTGTGGGGGTCTGTAGATGCCAAAAAGATTAATAACCACTGGTCTATTCCTTTGAATCTACCTAACCAGACAGCATTTGGTGGTTTTGATTATAACCATTTAGCGCTGTCTTTTTAAGAAGCTTCCACGGAAATATTTTTGCATATTGTATACTGAAGATCTAACTTCAATCACAGTTTTACAAGCTTTTATTTAGTTTGCAACGTCTGTTTGTAGGTTTGTGGCAAAGCTCGTATCTCAATAATTATTTGACCCACTTCTGATGCAGCTATTTCGCTAAAACTTTCCAGATATGTTCCATTTTGAAGACAATACAAGTCTATCTGTTTTTGTTATTTTTTTTAGATGTTTAATTAGTCACTAAAAATTAATTAAACATTTTCAAAACTAAGGGGAGATAACAAAATTAAATTACTTGATAGATTGCTATATTCCCACAACAGAAGGGGAGATAACTAGATAGACACTATCAATCTACCAGTCTGGTGAGCCATGGTCAAGATGAGTTTACTTTAGTTTTTGAAACAGTAACTTTAGTAAACCTCTTGCATGAATCATAGTAAGAACATAGCCATTTGACATACTTGGTGAGGTTACAAGAGCCACTATAGCTACAAGCAGGGGAGGGTCAGTCTAGTCATCAGTCACCTTTTGAAATTAATGCAACATTAATTTAAGGTTACCAAATAAAATAGGTGCAGAGAGAAAATGTAGATCTGGGTAGCTTTAAAAGCAAAGAGCAAGTTAAAATACCAGAAAAAAAATTGGGTTATAGCTTGACTAACATGCATGCTAGATTTGCATTAAAGAAACCAAGATTGGGTAGTTTATATTTAAAGAGCTGTAACAGGTTAGATCAGGGGTCAGCAACATGCAGCGAGCCGCATGCAGCTCTTTTGATGTCAAGTTGCGGCTCTTCAGCTCCAGCACAAATAGTAATAATTATTTTTTTTTATTTTTAAAACTCATAAAAATATTGATCTGCAACAGTTGGTAATGAACGATATAATAATAAATATAAACAATAAACACTCGCTAGTATATTAGAATATTTAGTTACTCACTATTTCAATGTACTTCCTATTAAATTGTCCATTCGGAATTGTAACATTCAACTTCATGGTGGATCATAAAGAAACTAAATTAGCTAAATGTAAAACTGAAAGGGAAAACCCAGCATATGCCTTGCTTGAAGAAGTGGTTTGTTTTGAAAAAAAAAAAAACCCTTTTTTTTAGTTAAAGTGAAACCAATGCTACTATTAACATGAATCACATCAGCATTACTATCAACAAAATGAAGGATGTTTTCACTGAGAGATTTGAGCAATTCAAAACAAATTCAAGCACTCTGACGTTTATAGTAGACCCTTTCAACACAGAAACAAATGAGATTATTTCTTACATTTAAAGCTATTTATTTAAAATTATATATATATATATATATATATATATATATATATATATATATATATATATATATATATATATTATCTTTAACAAACATCATACTATTGACATAAAAATGTTTGTGGCTCTGGGTAATTTTGTAAATAGTAACTTTTGACTCTTCCGTTTCAAAAGATTGCCGACCCCTGGGTTAGACTAATATTTTCTGTATTTTGAATACATATTTAACTGAAAATTTCAGCAGAAATTTGTGACTAAAAGAATTAGTATTCTGAAAAAATTTGGAAATCCGCAGAAATTCTAAATCTAGAGCAAGATTGAAAATGCCATTTGCTGTAAAAATCTGCATTCCACCATTATTAGATACGAGAAAAATGGCCCGCTGAGGAAGGATACAACGGGCGCTAGGCTGATAGTGCCGTCTCTTTTCTCTAAACTAAAACCACCCCCCCAACACACCACCCCCCACCCCCCCCAAAAAAAAACATGTCTACCGTCTCATTCAACGAAATATAATTATATACTTTTTCCAGTGTCCGCCCCCTCCCCGAAAATTCTACCCCCGCCCCCGAAAATTTCAAGTATCCCCACCCCTCTCCGGGGAGGAAAAAGTCTGAAAGAAACACTGGTGTCGCGCTTAGCCACTACCCGAAGAATTGCATTAAAGAAATTGCAAGAAAACCACTTTTTAGATTAGACACATTAATTAGGCGGTAATTTTATTATAGAGTATCAATGAAGAAATTTCTTTTGAGTTGGGGAGGGGGGGCTCAGACGTTCTTTAGCGGGGATGGGGCTTCGCCCCTACCCGAAGAATTGTATGCAAGAAACTCTTCACAGCAAACCATTTAGATTAGACAAAATTGCCTTTTTATTCAATGTTTACTCGAGAATCAATGACATCATATTACTGTGTGCACTCTCCGGCTTGAGATTATTTTCTACTCTATGCTAAATGTGACGACGTCATACTTCGTTTTTCGAATTACTATGTATGTTTTTAATTTGCTTGTGTTTTCTCTAGAGCGTTCTTGTCAGATAGATACATAGATACACAGACAGCGAAACTATTATTAGATATAATAGATGATGAATTACATAAGGTAAATCTTTTTAGAATTAATTAACTGGATAGTAAAATTTTCTGATCTTATCCACATAAACCCCACAAAAAAGTTAACCCCGCCATTAAAAAAAATTATAAAAAGGAGGATAAGAAACTTGTACTTTTAGATTTAATTAAAGAGGGCTAAATTGGGATGTGTCATTAATAGTTTTAGTATAATTCACTTAAATCCCAACCATAAAGGTAGATAAAGTTTTTGTGGAGTGGGGATCATTATTAAATGTCAAGACATCAGAAAAAGGTCACAAATGGCAGAGCTTAACTTTTCGCATTAGTGGCAAGGCTTAGTTATCTGGACAAGATCCAAATCTTCATTGATACATTGCTTTAAATCTGATTTTATATTTTAGTTGGGTTTTTACAACAATTTTACTATGTAATATTCACTAAAACGATAAAATCACCTATATTTAAAATTTAAAAACTGATATGTTGATTTATAATTATTGACTGAATTATTATTCCTAATAGCTGAATGATGACAGCAACTGATTCTGTTTTCTGTTGTTAAACTCTGCTCCAATTAGAAATATAAGAAAATTTTTAATTAGCATGCATAAAATGGATCTTTTGTCTTTCATATATACCTCTTTGGTTAAATTACATTCTGGAAAAGGGTTGCTTAATAGAGAAGAAGCATCCTCAAAAACTGGTTGGGCATTAATTATTGGTACATTTTCACTAGCAACAGCAACAGAATTTGATATTTCTTCAAGAATCTGTGATGAATTACCATTTTCTTCAGTGCTATTAGGAACATTACTGCTTACTTCTGTAACCACAACTGAGCCTACAGTTTGTAGCTGGGTAAAAATATTATGATGCGGTTCACTGACTAAAAATGTTTCTATCTCATTTTCATTTCCTTGCCTTAAGGGCAAAAAGTTATCATAAACATTGTGAAACCAAGAAGAACCAATCAATTCCAAATCTTTTATGTTGCCATAATGACGATTAGAAGAAATACTGTGATAGATGGTGGGCAAATATGCAGCCGTCTGTCCCAATATAATATCCTGAATTTCTGGATAGTTATACAGGTTGTTCATAACATATAAATCCGTTCGAAATAGACTTATAAGGATGGCAACACCAACAAGGCCATCAGTAAAGTATTGTTTTAACATTCTGAAATTTCAAGCACTCTTCCTTCTATTTAATTACTGTTGATGAATAAGCAATGCCTGATTTACATTGAAAGTTACTGTAGGCATGTCAGTGTAGATTAGTTCTGTATTAATTCAGAGAAGTTAGATTTCTATGAACTTAGACCAAAGACGTCTTTATTTTAGCCATAGCCCTAAGTTGGTAGTTTATTTATTTACTAGTTTAGTAGGAGTAGGACTAGGCCTATAGAATTTTTCATTTAGATCCTGACAAGATTTAAGCTAGTTCTATTTGAGACCACTTCAAAAGCCATCAGTATGAGTATGTATTCACATCAGCAGGCCAATTTAGTTAAATCTTTAAACTATCAGCAGGCCTAGCCCTAAGCTAATAATAATAGTATAGGCCTAGATCTAGTAATAATGACAGTTAATGTAAACTTCTTGACTTGAATAAAACTTGGCTAGATCTAGATACATTTGATTCAATATAAAATATTCCTATAGGCTAATAGGCCCTAAGCCCTAATAATTGTAATATAATAAATATATCATCATAGATGATACTATTGATACTACACTTGCGTCTAAACCTAAAATCCTCCTGACCTAGACCGTCTAGATCTAGATTCTAGTAGTAGAGATCTAGTAGAATCTAGTAATTTTAGTTGGAATTTTAATACTAGTCTATAGGCCCCTAATTATATAAATAATAGTTTAGGCAAGGCTTAGTTAATTTCCTAATTCATTATAATTAAGCTTAGTTACTACTAGTTAGTTTTACTTAATTTTATAGGGCTATAGACTATAGTCTCAGAATAGTCTATAGAGTCCTTGCAAACACGTGACCTAAATCACGTGATACCTACGCCCGCCGCCACAGTGGTGTACATCAGACGTAAACACAATCAGCTGTTCGCCAGCGCTGGACGTATTCACCGTATGTAAAGAATCGCGCCCGCGGAAAAGGAAAAATATGTTAAAAAACTTGAACTCTTAGGAATTGAAGATCCTTATACAGTTATTGACAGTTTCGTGGATAATATAAATATGTGGCCGAAATTTCTAAATAAAAATACTGTTAGTAATACCGTTTGCGTTTAGAGTTTAAGTAGACGAAGCTGATCAAATGCAGTAATATATTAGAGGTTATCTACTGTAGCAAACGTGAGACCACTTAACTCCTACAAAACCCACACTACAACGGCTAATATAATCCATGGGTAATAACCAATCTGGGTAGCATGTTATACAATTTAAGACCCTTATAATCCAGCAGGGAAGTGATCAGACACATTTATACTGATGTTCAACCCTCATAATGGCTGCCCCCACCTGTATCTAGCCCACAATAAAACCAAAGAGGAGTCTGCCCTGCCCTCCCCTGAAAATGTCTCACAAAGGGGAAAGTCCCACTGCTCTCCCCTCAACACTTCTCACCTCGGTGTCATGTTATGTCATTTATAGCACACATGGCTTATCAGGGGAAAGCATTAAGGCATTAAGAATCTTAACTCTGGACAGCTACACACTAGTATACTAGCTACACACTAGGTGCCTACTGTAAACTACTAGACTGTAGGCCCTATGTAGACCTGCAATTGTATCAATTGTAGACTGGGTCCATTGTTATTATTCTAAACCATCTCACTTATAATGTTTCTAGCTTGATTTGTTTCTTTTATAAACAGTGGATTTTAAAAAAAATTAGCCTAATCATTAACCAAATAATAATAATGTGGTTATTTGTTGTTGGCTGGTATGATCTAGATTGTACTACTAGGCTACAAAAACTTAGTAGACCAATTACTAGATATGAATTTGAATTTAATTAAACTCAGTCCAGTATCAGATACATATTGCTGTAAAAAGACAACAAAGTAGGTAGGCCTTAGTAATTTATTAAAGCCTTCTACTACAATAATATCAACTACATGCTTGTATAAAGTTTAACAATTTAATTTAAGTAGCAGATTCTAGATCTAAGTCTAGTCATATAATCTATTTCAATTTCAGAAAATTTCGTTTGCTAAAAAAATGATTAGATAATAGAGCGAGATTTTAAATCTTAGAGACAATTAAATGCTTTATTAGGCCTATTATGACTACTTTTGATTTAGTATGGGTGTATTTTGAATCGAATGTAGATCTAAAGTAATTAAATTTAAGTAAAGAAGTAGATTCTAGATTCTATGTCTACCCAGCGGAGCCAGGTATTAGGCCTACTATTAGATCTTATTATTCTTATTAGCCTATTACTTTTGACTTTGTCTTTTACTATTAGTATTTGTGAAGGTCGAGCATATTTGTTTTATTAATAGTTATCTTTTATAATTAAAATGAAGTTTGTTATTTTACTGTCCTTACATGAAACAAAGTATCGAGAACTGCATTTGATCAGATTCTGCTACTTTAACTCTAAACGCAAACAGTATTACTAACAGTATTTTTATTTAGAAATTTTGGCCACATATTTATTTATACGAAACTGTCAATAACAGTATAAGGATCTTCAATTCCTAAGAGTTCAAGTTTTTTAACGTATTTTTCCTTTTCCGCGGGTGCGGTTCTTTACAAACAGTGAACGCGTCCAGCGCTGGTGAACACGTCCAGCGCTGGCGAACAGCTGATTGTGTTTACGTCTTGTGTACACCACTGTGGCGGCGGGCGTAGGTATCACGAACGGACGTGACGTCATATGAAAGGACTCTATACTATACTACTCTATAGTAAATAAGTATAGGCCTAATTATTAGTTTAGGCCCTATATGGCATATGGGCCTAAACTATATTAATTATAATTAGATCTAGATCTATTTATAGGCCCTATTATTTTTATTAGACAATATTAGGCCTAGATCTAGAGTAATTATACTTTATTTATTGTAAAGTAGGCCTAAGACCTATAGTTTATACTATAGGTCTAGGCCTAACTATCTATATATATAAAATTCTCTTCTGGGGGACACTAGAAAACAAGCTGTAAGCGCGCTAAATGTTTACATTCGTAGAGCCAGGTTTAGTGAAGGCTATTAGGGGCAGATAAGTTTGAAACGATTTTAAACTTAGGGGAGGTAACTAAGAGGAGGCTGCTTTCACGGGGGGGGGGGGGGGGGGGGGGGAGTGTAGGGTAGGGGTTGGGGGAAGTAGATTCTATCGTTCTTAACGACCTACTGATAGTGTTTTAAAGCAAATATTTTCAGTGGCAGCATTGGTACTGTCGAATTCACAAATGATGAATTACTGAAAAGTAGAAAATAAAACAACTAAATAACCGCTATTTAGTTTTTTTATTTTATTATGATATGCCGCGGGTCGGCTCGTACTCTATACTATACTATAATAAGTAATAAGCCTTGATCTAATAGGCCTAAGGCTAATACTTTAGTTTAGGCCTATACTTAACTAACTAACTACTATTACTATACTAAGTATACTAGATCTAGGCCTATATTTTTTTTTTTTTTATTAAGCCTAGATCTAGATTTGATCTAGATCTAGGCCTATCTATACTCAATGGGCCTACTCCTAAGACCTAGAAATAGAGATCTAGATCTAAATAAAAATAAAAGGTAATCTATCGTTTTAGGTACGTAAAATCGCCCGCGACTTGTAATGTGAAAAACAGGTTACTCCTTAAATTTTAATAATTATTTCACATTTTGAGGAGGATTTGTTTTTTAAAATACAAAAATGTTTCCTTGTTTCATTTATGTACCTGTTTTTAAACAGTTGAATTAAAACTTTTCCATAATAAATGAAGACTAGCGACGTTTCCAACAGATGCAACCATGCTCATTTGCTATAGAATCTATCAGCCATCTTGTTTAAGTTTTATTTTTATATGCCTATAGCACGAGATTCAGGGAGAAGCCACTCTATTTTACAAATGCCGTTGAAATGGCTGCTGTTTATAATATATAATAGATCTATATAGCAAATCTTGCTCTCAGACACTGCTGTTTAAAGTTAATTTCTGGCCTATATTGATATATTTTTTATTTAGCCAAAACATAGATCTAAATCCTCCTCAAAATGTGAAATAATTATTAAAATTTAAGGGGTCACCTGTTTTTCACATTAGATCTAGATTTAGATCTACTAGTCGCGGGCGATTTTACGTAAAACGATATCTTACCAAAAATTATTACTAGATCTAGATTCTAGATCTTAGTCTAGATCTTTCTAATGCACTAATCATTCACTAGAAATCTAGATCTATTACTAATGACTAACTAAACTAAAACTAATAGTAATAGAGTTTATTAGTTTATTATTAGTTATTGAATTATTAGGATTATCTTAGGATTTCTTAGGCCTAATTATTAATTAATTCTAGATCTAGATCTGTAATCTACAAAAAGTTCATTTGTTAAGTTAAGAATGTTGTTAACCACAAAACACGTTCGAAAATTTTTATTTTCTAGCCTACAGATCCAGAATTTAGATTGTTCTGTCACATAAAAATAGATCCACTTTTTGAGCCATGAATCAGCTGAATTGAAGTTAAGTCACTCAGATGCATTTCAGCGCATGCGCCATTCAAAAAAAAAAAAAAAAATCTTAGGCCTTGGCCTAGCCTTAAAGTTTTTTTGTCAACATCCTGTTTCATAAAAAAAAAACAACGGGAGTGATCTCCCCTAAACTTCCCGCACATCTAGATCTAAGTTATTTAATATTTAAGTGTCTGGCGGACTGGCTGAAATCCAAACGCCTGAACGCATTGGGTTCATTTTACAAGCTTTTATTAGCCTGTCGCTTTACCTACTTTCTTTTACCGTCGTCATAATGGCTACCGAAAACGACGATACCGTGATTCCGTTTTTTTTTTTTATTTAATATTTAGGCCAAATAATTATTAATTACTAATAATTAGGTCTAGTAATGGGCCTAATAATCTATTCTAAATAATGTTTGATGGTCATTTCAGAAATAAGTAATCAATCTTTTTAATAATTTTAAGTAGACTTTCTACGTAAAATAAATAGGCCGAGGCTAGATCTGGTAATGTGAAAAAAAAAAGGTGACTCATCAAACTTTTGTAATTATTTCACATTTTTAGAAAGATTTATGTTCTAAAAGTTACCAAAATGTTTCAATCTTTCATTTTTGTACCTGTTTTTAAATAACTGTATTAAAACTTTTCAGTAAAAAATAAAAGATTAGCGATGTTTTCATCAAAAGCAACCAAGCACAGTTACTTAAGTTTTTCGGTAACACTTTAGCTAGAGATTCAGGGGAAACCACTCATTTACAGATGGCAGCCGTTTATATAGCAAATCTTGCTCGCAAACAAAACCTTTAAAGTTAATTTCTGACCTTTATTGATATATTTAGTAGACATTGCTTTTAGTTTATTGTTCAATTATCTATTATATTTGACACAAAAATATAATAATTTAAATAATATAGGCCCTACCTACTTGTAAGCCATATTAATGAGCCACCTTTTGCACATTACTAGCCTCGGCCGGTTTTACGTACTTTAAACGATAGATTACACAGAAATATCAACTATATAGGCCTATACTATTAATAATATTATGGGACGGAGTAGTCTAGCGGTAGAGAGCTGGACTGCTAACCCGTAAGTCTCGAGTTCGAATCCGGGTTCAAGTCATTAGACCGTCCCTGAGTCCACCCAACTCTGATGGGTACCTAACTCACGTTAGGGAAAGTAAGCTGACCACACTATCTCTTCATATGCCAAGGTCACAGAAACAAGTAAACTCTACTTCACTTGCCCCATAGACCGTCAGGTTTGAAAGGGAAACTTTACTATTAATAATATTATAGACTGAGAGACTATGTACTATGTATGTGACTAGTATAGCACCTAGTATAGTTAGATATTAATTTAGATAGGCCTAATAATCGTAATATTAACGTTTCGCTTTTTGCGTCTCGCAATGTCCCAACACCCCTACTATTAATAATCTTTATTAATAGTTTCGCTGGCTGTCTATCCATCTGTTGGGAAAGCTTTTACTATAGAGAAAACAAGCAGAGTAAAAACATTCATAGTAATACGAAAAACGAAACCGTGACGTCACAAGGAACATAGACATATCATATAGTAGGACATTTTCTAAAGCCGGGAAAGTACACACAATATTATCACAATATTATGACGTCATTGATTCTCGAGTCTACATTGAATTAAAAAGTCATTTTTTGAATAATCTTAAAAGTGGTTTGTGTTCAGTTTCTTTCATACATCTCTTCAATCTGTTTTCAATGACATTTTTCATTTCCGGTTAAATCTGAAGTTGAGGGGGTGATTTTGATTTTGGCTTAGAGAAAAAGACATCACTATCAACCTAGCGCCCATTGTATCTCTCCCTCTAGCGGCCATTTATCTAGTCTAAAATAATAGTTTCGCTGTCTGTCTATCTATTGAGATTCTATTGGGAACCCTATAAATGTGACGTGACATGGAACATATTTTACATATAGTAGGAATGTCTAAACCCGGGAAAGTACATACAATAATATGACGTCATTAAATCTAGAGTGAACATTGAATTAAAAAGCGAATGCAGAAAAAATACACAATAGTAATGGCGTCATCGATACTCTATAATAAAAATACTGACATTAATTACTGCCTAAATAATTTGTCTAATCTTAAAAATGGTTTGCGTGCAGTTTCTTTCATTCATCTCTTCGGGTAGGGGCAAAGCACCCTCCCCCCAAATGAAATATAATTTGTATAGAAAATGTACACTTTTACTAGTGTTGGCCTCCCCTGCCCCAGAGAATTTTATACTCCCCGCGTGAAAATCATTTTCTAGGCTACCGATTAAATTTGATAATTAAAATTGGTATCAGATTAAAGGTAAGTAAACATAGTTTTTTAACTGTTTAAGTCATCTTGTAACAATAATGAAGTTTAAAATCTTAGGCAACACCCCACTTTTATTTAGTTCGCAATTTAATATAGATCTAGAAAATCTAGATATATTTTATTCCCCAAAACCAGGCAGTGTTGGCAATGTGATGTATAATAAACACACAAGTCACGTTTTTTTACAGTTAAATTTTTCACAAAAGCCAGTGTAGAACCGAGGTGACTAGTTCTTATTACAACAGTAATGAGTAATGTACTACCTGGCTTTATAAATGCTTTTTATAATTTTTATATATAGTTCTAAAAGTATTAAAACTGAGTTAAAAAAATAAAGAATTGTGCACCAATTGAACGCAATCAGCATGTGTAATAGAGTAGAAAATTAGTACTTAATTTTAACCCATGTTATCCCAAGGTCTCAAATTTTTATAATTTTTACTTTCTCATATACAAAGTATAGAGAAAGTATTGTAATCGTGCAAAAGACAAATATCGAGATTTTTGCAAATAGTTTTGCAATCTTGTGTACCGTTACAGCTAGGTTGATGAAATTTCATATATAAGTACTAGCTACATACCCGTGCTCCACCACGGCAAATCTTTTTAAATGTACCAACTATAGAACAGAATAAAACTAAACACAAAATAAAACACAAACACAATGCAAAAACAAAAAACAAAGGAAACAAACCCAAAAAAACACAAAAGAAAACAATAACACAACACAAAAATGAAAAAAAAAAACACAAAAGAAAACAATAACGCAAAGCAAACACAAACCCATAGCGCTCACAGGAAAGCCCATCGCACACAATCAACCCTGGCGCACATGCCTGATTCAATATTGTGAATGACTATAAAAACCCCAGCTCTGCCGCAAATCAAAAGATAAAAGTAAACATAAGGGACATTTAAGAGTGGCTTCTAAACTGATATTGATTAAAAATAATAATCAGTAAACAGTACGTTCAGTTTATAAAATAAATAAAGGCAGTATTTAAAATATCTGTGTTTTACCTACCATATTGCACTTTGTCATATTGCAGCTTTATATTATAGATTATATCAAATTTGTAGTTCTGTATCAACTTTTCAGCTATTTCCAGCAACCAGACGTGGATCTTAATCTACTTTTAATTTTTCAAAAGCCTATATAGTATAACTTGAGTACTGTTTCAGATAGATTAATGAAATTTTACAAGTAAGTTACTAATTCTGTGCCCTGTATAAAATTTTGGGGTTGTTTCCGTTGACCAGAAGTAGTAATTTAAGCTATTTCCGATTTCTCAAAAAACGTATGTTAATTATAAAGTACTGATAATATTCAGCACTATTATTATACATATTGTTTGAGTTTACTTGATGCACAATTCTTTTTTCTACCAGATTCTATTCTAAAAAGTTTAAATAATTAAAAATGGATTTAAAATATTGTCTTTATCCCTAGTTGCCATTCCCCGTCATGTTATATAAGAATATTCAAGACAGTTTGGGGTAGATCTTTCCTGGTTTATTTTATACGAGCTGACCCGCAGCGTATCATACGCCGCTATTTAGTTGTTTTATTTTCTACATTTCAGTAATTCATAATTTCTGAATTCGACAGTACCAATGCTGCCACTGAAAATATTTGCTTTAAAACACTAACCCCTCCCCTTTCCCCTAACCCCGACCCTACACCCCCCCCCCCCCCCGTGAAACCAGCCTCCTCTTAGTTATTTCTTAGTTACCTCCTGTAAGTTTAAAATCGAACTAAATTATCTGCCCCTAGTAGAAACCCTGCTCTAGGGCTCTACGATTTGTAAACATTTAGCTTTGTAAACATTTAGCGTGACCACAACTCACCAGACAATGTGGGGGTGAGGTGGGGGTGGTAGTGATAGTGATAGAGAGAGAGGGGACTGCAAGGAGGCGCTTGCAGCTTGTTTTCTAACGGCTCCCAGAAGAGAATTATATATATAGATGGTTTAGCTTTTGGACACAGAATGAAGGAATGACTGGATTTTTTTAAAAAATCAATACTTTTTAAAATATTGATTTTTTTAAAAAAACGTGCCATAAACGGGACGCTAGCAACGAACTGCCCCATGTAAATTTATTGCAAAAAAAAATCATTTATAACGAAATATGGCTAATCACGCGAAAATTAATCTGTATACTGAGTTTGTATTGTTAGACCAATTATTACGTTGTTTAAGACAGCTAAAAATATCAATATTGTTCAATTTGGTTAGCTATACTATGGTCTAGAATACAGAAATTATGTTCTAAACGTCTAGATTTCTTTCAATCTTGTATCCATCAAAGTGCATAACACTTTGTAATAACTAAAGCTGTGACTGGTACATCTATTTATACACACATGATCACAAATATTGTTATTATTCATAAAAAATTTAATATAAATAAATAATTGATTTTTTGGTCAATGTTTTTACTAAGTCAGTATATGAACATATTTATATACACACACACACATATATATATACACACACATATATATATATACACATACATATATATATATACACATACATATATATATATACACATACATATATATATATACACATACATATATATATATACACATACATATATATACACATACATATATATACACATACATATATATACATATACATATATATACATATACATATATATATATATATATA